TTATATGCCAGAGACATTTTACAGGGGTGGAGTGGGGAATAGGATCAAAAACAGTAGGGGAAGGGAAGTGCACTGGACTATTGTGATGGCACACGGGTGATTTGGTGTTGGGAAGCCCACAGGGATTACAACTAAGATGGGAAAAGGCACAAAATGATGTAAAAATAAACAATTATATTATTTAAGATAATCATAATAATAATAATTTTCAGACATGCGTCTTACTGCATTTTTATTTAAAAGTGTATACATGCCAAGGTCTTACATGAAGACAGGGAGAGCCAGTACCTGAGTAATATCTCAAACATGCCCCTGGTCCCCATGCACTCAGGACCTGCCTATTGTTCACCACATAGCATCCTCTGAAACTCATTTACTTCTTTATTTTCTCCATTTCAGTAAGTCAGTAAGACTTAATCCCCAGGGATGTCACCTTTATCTGCCAGTTTTTTTTTTAGCATTTTGAGGTGCTGGAACCATGCATAGTATGCATTAGACACTCATTAAATATCACTTGAGTGAAGCAAGGCACTTTTTTTTTTATTTTTTTATTTTGTGCTTTCAGAGGCAACATGCAAAAAAAAAAAACAAAAAAAAACACTTAAAACTGGCCATCTGTACATTTGGGGAAGATTTTATTCTTTGATTTTCTGATTTCTTTAAGACAGTGGTTCTCAAAGAGGAACCTCATAACAGAGCCCCCCACTCTTCCCCCTCCCCATCATCTGGGAACTTGTTAGAAATGCAATGCTCAGCCCCTCTACCACCCAGGGAGCCAGAATCATCTCTAAAAGATTGAGGTACACACTGAAGTTTGCAGATGAGTGATTTTAGGCATGGTTTTCCCCTAAATGCACCTCCTCCTCTGAACTAAAGCAAAACTATCCTCCCTGTTCTTGACATGTTCCATATTCAGTGGAATTGGAAATGATCTTTGCCCACCAAGATCTCTTTCCTCAATGTCTTTCAGATATTCTTTCTGATTCTTATTTCCACTTCTGACTTCACACATGACTAGAGGTAGTTTAAGAATGCTCAAGACAATTAAAAATAGCTTTCCTGTTCTCCTAAGTTATTTTGTCTCTTATGAGGAAACTAAATATGTCCCATAAATTTGAGCAAAACTGATTGAGTATACCAGCCAATTACTGCTGATGGTGTTTCTGGTTGTCCTTAAGTTACCAGCACTTTCTTTTTTTGAGAAGTAGATCACATCTTTAACTCTAGCAAGAGAACGCTACAGTCAGGCTGTCTGAATTTTAATTCTCTGCTTTGATAGTTCCTGTTAGGGACTTTAGGGGAGTCCTGAGTAACTTTGTGTCTGTGTCTTCACCTGTAAATCATGAACAATAAGAGAGCATTTCTCAAGGGGTAGTTATGGGATCAAATGACTTAATAAATGGAACATTCTCACCTTTGTTCCAGGCACACACTAAGTATTGTACAATTTTAAACATTATCTATAGTTAATGAATGCTGTCTTATCAAGGACCAAGAAGGGTGAATATCAAAAATTTAAATACCTGCATTTTAAATACCTGCATTTTCAAGTTGTCCTAATTCCTGCGTAGATTCCCCCTTCCTGAACATCAAAATTCTCTTCCATGTGCTTCTTGTTTATGAAACTCCAGGACACAACCATAAATAACAGCAGGGAAGGAGCCAGGTTGGACAAACACTTGCACATATTGCTGACGTCTTTTCCTTCCTTCCCCGTGTTCAGACAAGAGTGTAAAAATCCTATTGTGATAGAAAAAAGCAAGAAGCATAGCAATTACAATTTTTTTTTGGAAGTGCAAGTGAGAAAAAAATTCACCACCAATGGAGATGACTCTGCCAATTCAATGACTCTGTCATTCACTAGAGGTTAGACTTGGGGACATCCAGCTCTTCCATACTCAAAGAGCTGGCTTTGATCCAGGACTCCTTCCACTAGTACTCCATGCCACGCACGAGGCACTGAAGATTCAGGAAGTTGGCCTGTCACGCATCTGGGTTATGGCTGTGGAACCCTTTGCCAGCCTGGGGCTTTGGGGCAGGGCACTAAGAGACTGAGAGTGCATTGTGTCTCTGAAGGTGCAGTTTAAAGAATGTGTTTCAAAGTTAGCTCCTGTTAGACTGTGGTCATTTGAACTGTATCCACACATTTCTTGTCTTCTATCCTAAGACAAGGGAACTAGTAAAGATCATTTTAAGAAAATACATTTCAAGAGCTCAAATTTCCTAACATCAGTCTTTCTGAGAAAATGTCCAAGATTGGGTTGTAATTCTGATATTTATTTCTATCCACTCCCTACATAGGAATTACCCAAGAGAGAGTTTTCCTTTCTTTTCTGGTCAATTTTACCACCTACCTTAGGTGCAATAGACAGTGCATTGCTTTTGAAGGGGTCCCACAAAAGTCAAGTGGAAAAGGCCTAAAGGCATTGGCACATTTTGTCATCAGTCATAAAATCAGAGTAAGCTGGCACTGTCTTTCTCTTGGAATTAGAACTTAAAGAAAGGAAAGAGATGTTGACAGAGGATAATGTGATATGGCAATTAAATGCTATTTTGATTTCCCCATCTGAATATATTGGTATAAACAAGGTCCTTCTAGATAAAAAAGTAACATCTTCCCTACTCATTTAATTCGACCTGGTGAAACACAGGCAGTGTAGAATAGCCAGACATTGAGAAATGGAATGAATCTAACTCAGGATTAGAAAACCTTTTGTAAGTTATGATTAAATTTCCAAATTAATCACTTTAAATGGAAGGATGGACTAATTATATTGGCAGTTGTGATATTATTAAAATAATAATATAATATATGTGATTTTTGGCATATACCTTGGAAAAGGTTCAAATAATTGATTGACATAGCTACATAAGATTTTTATTTCCATCTCCTTGCTTATGTGAACTAGGTTTATTTCAGTGCAAAAATAGAAATGGAATTGATCCTGAGCTCTAGCTCATCCTAGCAGTAATGATATATGTGTGTGTGTGTGTGTGTGTGTGTGTATCTATGTATGTATATCCCATTTGGAACTATATTTCCAGTAAAAGTTTACTTTTTATGTTTAATTGTTACTTAACATCATGCACAATCAATATATTTATGTTGTTTTATCAATATTATCCTTGTAATGATAACTCATTCTAAAAGAAAATATTACTTAGAACTATGGTCACAGAACATAAAATAAATTTAAATTGGAGTGTGCATGAATATATGCATAAATATGAAAGCTGATCAATAAAAAACTTTCAAGCATAAAATAGCATATTAGGATAAAATCCTGCAGAGCACATAGACTGGAATCACAAGCTTAAGTTTTAAAAAGGAATGATGTACATCTTGTGATTGTTGAAGCAGAGTTTGTTCATGAATTTTCAAAATAGATGATCATGAATCTCAAATCACTATGGTATTTAAATTCTTCTGACATATATATGTAAAGGAATATTTTGACACTTTGGTTTTAAAATGTGAATATTCTCAAAAGACCAAAAATGCCTATTTACACCTCTGCCTTAATCTTAAAAAAAAAAAATGTTAACTTAAAATGATTCAAAGGGTTCATAAAGAAAGGAAATTTGCACCTTGTCACCCAGGTTTGTGTATCCCCCCACTGACTAGAAGAAGATGCCTTTTACTCTGTGCCTGGATTACCCCCTCCTCCAGGCATCCTGATTTCTGGACCTAGATGATTGGAACTTCACCAGGAGTTATTCAAACAAGGATTTGGTCTTTTAGAAAGTCAGTTAGGGACCTCCCTGGTGGCACAGCACTGCACTAAGAAGCTTAAGCCACTTCCACATGAGTTCGATTCCCGCCTGCCCCGAAGGAGATCCACATGGCATGGCAGACCTCTCCTGACCCGACTGCTGCTCCCCTCAGCAGTGTACTTTGTCGATCTGCCTGTTCTGCTCCCCACTTTGTCCCTGGTGAATATATTTATTCCCTAAAAAATGCTTTTGAAGGTGGGAGTACGGGGTCCCCACTAGAAGTTTGATCTTCATAATTGAAATGTAAAGTTGCTATAAAGGGAAAAACCTGTACAATACATTAGGGTCTCAGAACGTGGAGGAAGCCTCGTGAGTTCAGTTTTTCTTTATAGTAGTGGCATAGCTATGAGGTGGGCAACAGACTACTTAATGGTGCCTGCTCTCCAGGGCCCAGGGGTAAAGGCAAGAAAGCAGAGGTCAACTCCTGCCCTTGACAAGATGACATAGCCACGTTGTTCCTTCTCTGGATAGGCAAAGGAGTGGCAGGAGCTCTGCCTGATCATCTTTTTCTTCCCTTTCCTGAAACCTCAAGAGGTCCCCATGACCTCCTTAACATTCTTTGGCTTTTGAAGGTAAATTTGCACAATTCAAGTTATAAACTGATTTACAGACTTTGGGTAGATGAGGGGTATAGGGAGATTATCATCACAGGGAAGTCTGAAGGTAAATAATGTTCCATTTTTTACCAACAAGTTAAGTATTTGCTCCGTGGATTATCTGTGACCTATTTGAAATACAGATCCCCTTTCTCTCCCCTGTGCCCCTAGGCCACTTTTCCCACAAGGTGATAAATGTGCTCAAGAAATATAAACTAAGTTTGACAGAAGCCTGGGGTAGGGGATAGGATGAAAAGCAAATATACAGCAAAGTTATTCATGTAACATGTTCCAAAACCAAATAGAAATGAGTTTGCATCATGGTTCTTCTGGAAGATTCAGACCACTCTTCCCCTCTGTTTGGGAAGTTGCATCTATGATTAATTGTTTCCCTTTAGCACTGGATTATATTGTTTCATTATGCCTCCAAATACAACCACATTTATAATATAATCTCCCAACACTCTCTTCTTCCCTCTTACCCCTCTTCAATGTCCCTTTCCTTCGTTCCTCCTCCCTCCTCTCCTCTCTCCTCTCCCCCTCTTCTCTCCCCTTCCTCCTCTTCACCACCCCTCCCTTCTCCCTGTACTTTGCTCCCTCCCCCTGTCCTATCCTCGCTCACGCTCACAGGTGTACCATAGATGACCGAGTCACCCGGGTGGCCTGGCTGAACCGCAGCACCATCCTCTACGCCGGGAATGACAAGTGGTCCATAGACCCCCGTGTGATCATTCTGGTCAACACCCCGACCCAGTACAGCATCATGATCCAGAATGTGGACGTATATGACGAGGGCCCGTACACCTGCTCCGTGCAGACAGACAACCACCCCAAGACCTCGAGGGTGCACCTCATAGTGCAAGGTGAGTGACAGCTGGACCAGTGGGCTGGCATCCTATCACTAATGGAGCAAAGCAGCATCCTTTGTGTTGGATCCCTGTAAAACCCAGCGACTTAGGCATCCTGGCCCTGCCCCTGCTGGATTCTTGACTAAGGACTGAGTAACTTAAGTTTATCTCTAACCCTCTGGTCTCATGAATGAGTTGTTTGCTATGTGCTGGCTGAATTTTCTTAGGTTACTTAGCACACTGGAGTTTAGAAAAGAAATATTCCAAAATAGGCCACAAGACCATCTTATTCTCTGTACCTTTTAGCATGTTTCAGAGGCTATTTTTCATAAAAGTGGTTCATAATATTGATGTCCAAGTCTTGGAACTTCTGACCATTTTGCACAGTTGACGGCTGTGTGTGGGCAAGAGGGGACTCTGAGTGCTGGTCAGCAGACCCAGCTCAGCTTCATGGCTGCGGATATGCCCTCACTCTTAACCCCACAATGGAGCCCAGATCAATAACAATATTAGTCAAAATGGTATCACCAGTCTATGTTGGAACTAAATCTATATAATGAACAAAAGGGTAGATTTCTGACATCCTCTCCCATTGTCTTTTAAACATCTGCGTTCCTATCACTTAGGCATATTCTTTTGTAGTTTTTTACGTTCATTTAAATTTGTGGGAAGAGAAATGGGATTGGGAAATGTCAGTATCTCAGATAACCACTATCACATATCGGAAGTTAGGTCTTCAGTGAACAGACATAAAAAATCGAGAACCATTTTCAAATAAGGCTACTATACTAATGACCTTGTTCTGAACTTGCCCAACCAACCCAGACCCTCCCCAACATTCTCTACAGTCATTTCTGTCCATCTTGGTTGATTCAGCAAGGAATGGGTGAGTGGCTTCTCACCTCGCAGTGACACCCCATGGCCTCCACCCACAAGAGCTGGGTGGATCTTTTTGACACTACACACTGGTAACTTAGGGCCTCCTACACGGAGTCCCTGTGTGTGCTGTGGCCTTTAGTAACTGCCTTTTACCAGCTTTGATGGTTATGTTGTCAGTCCATGAGTTGTTTATGGCGTCCTTGGTCCACTAGCATGGATTCCCTCACTCCTGCCTTTCTAAACATAGGGTGTTGTTCCTTCAGTGGTCACAGGGAGAGTTTGAGGCAGTCTCAGTGTCTACTCAGACTTCAGCCATTGTCCAGTCCATGAGTGCTGCTATTTCTTGGGGCTAGAACATTCCTTGCTAGCACAACACCATGGGCCCTGGCTCTATGGGTCATTTCATGTTTAATTTTTATTTTAATTTGGGAGTTATGTTTTTGCTCTTCCATATGTACATATATGGAACCAATCTCTACCAACCACCGCCACTACTACTACATGTTCCTCCCTCCACCCCCTCAACTTCTACATCCCACCACCGTCTGTGCCCTCTGGTAACCATTATCTTCTTTCATTGAGTTTAAAACTTTGTCTCCATATTTGTATGTTTTTTAGATCTTTGCATTCTGCCCTTGAGTGAGACCAATTGATATCTGTCTTTCACTTTTTGACTTACCTCGAGGTCTATCTGTTTTTTCTGTGTGAGTTATTTGAAATGGCCCGTGCTGATCCAGAGGTCTGTCAGCTGCATTTTCCTCTCTCTAGCAAGTTCTGAGCCGCCATATTGTTTGCAGACTTGCCTCAGTTTATCATCCCAGCCACTCTCACTATTACATGCTTTAAACACCCACGTCAGTCTGCCATGCAACAGATGTCTATACACTCTGCTGTTTCCATTTTCCATACATGTGCCACCCAGGGGTATGACTTGGTGATGATCACTGGTGTGGAGCTCCAAGCTGGTCTGCCATCTGGTGAGAGAGGCAACTGTCACGTCAGATGCTTCTCCTTAGAGGGCAGTGGAGACCCTTGGGAGATCAGTCATCTGAAAGGAGCTGGAATGTCTGTTCAAAGTATGTGGGGAGACAGAAAACAAGGGAGAATAAGTTCTCACTACCCTCCTACCACCTGGGCTCCGTTCCAGTGGAGCTGAAATTCTCAATGTTGGAAGTGACGCCTCCGTGGCACCCTGGTGGCCTTGACAGCAAAGTTATCTTCAAATTTGGGAAATGCAGCACACTGAAATGAAAAAGAACTGTCAGGCACTGTACAGAAACAGACTTAAACAGAACAAGGCGAGCACCTTTCAGGAAATAAGACAGATTGTGTACGCAGTGAAGTCAGCACAGACCATGGGGGTGAGCAGTGCCAGCCCTGGGCCGAGTGCTCTTTGCTATGCACAAGGAGTGTGTCCTGCACTCCCCATGGGAGCAGTGGGGTCTCTCTGTGGACCCACAACTTTGGATCAGGAAGGGTCTGAGAACAAGGGAGAGGCAGAGCCCTAGAGACTTCCACTCCGGAGGTGAGGTCCTCATCATTGCCACATTAAAGGCCAAGTGACTCTTGTGGTTGAGGTTGCTGAGGTGGCCTGTGAAGTCCAAATTCCAGCCGTCAGGAAGGTTAGGGGACGAAGCAGAGAGACGCCTCTTGGACACTTAGCAGATTGCGCTCTGCATTTCCTGAGTGCTGGGAGAAGCTTAGGGAGCTGC